CTAAATATTCCAGATGATAAAACTCACTAGATCAAAGGTAACTTGACAATAACATCTTAAAGGGACACTGTCATCTAAATATTCCAGGGGGGGGTTGATAGTGAATATATATATGGTTAATTAAATATTCCTGCTGATACAAAAAAATTTTTTCAATCATGACATTTCTTGAGGAGTTCACCAAGGCCCAGAATTAGACGATTATATGACTTGAAGCTTAGTAGTTCACCAACCTACTGACATTTCTATAGTCATGATTACAGAAGATTATTGTTTTCTTTCTTCCAGTATTTTAATTAAAGAACCGATTTTAGCACAAGGATGTCCTAGGACAGTGGTTCCCAACCTATTTCAGCCTTCATACCCCTGGAGCAATCACCTGGACCTTTCACACCCCCAAAAATTTGTTTCATCCACATTTCCAGCATGTGATGATGTGAGGTGCTCTCTTAATTCAAAATAAATTCTTTTTCCTTCACCAGTTGGCTCCACCCCTGACACCCTAGTCCCACACCCCTGACACCCTAGTCCCACACCCCAGACATCCTTGTCCCACACCCCAGACATCCTAGTCCCACACCCTAAGACATACTAGTCCCACACCCTCAGTGGTGAAAACACCCCAGGTTGGGAAACCAGGGTCCTAGAGAATATGTGGGCTGATCTCTTTGTTTGTGACCTTTGTCAGCGATTACGAGAATTTATTCAATTTCCCTGCCAATATTTGTCTTTATATATAATTATTCTAACCAGTTAACAGTTTTTGCTGAAATAAACCAAGAAATATAGACCAAACTCCAGCTTTAAAGGAAGATGATATATCGAGTTTTATACAATTCATTTACTGTTATATTAAACTCAATACACTGGCTGGCTATTTCATGTATCTGTTTTTACTCACTTTCATAATAACCTTAGAGTTAATTAGTGATGAGAACATAGTCTCATTAAAACACTGGCCATAGTCTTAACCCTTTAAACACTGAGTGTAATGAAATATAACATCATATACCTTTAACCCTTTAAACACTGAGTGTAATGAAATATAACATCATATACCTTTAACTCTTTGAACCCTGAGTGTAATGAAATATAACATCATATACCTTTAACTCTTTGAACCCTGAGTGTAATGAAATATAACATCATATACCTTTCACCCTTTAAACCCTGAGTGTAATGAAATATAACATCATATACCTTTAACTCTTTGAACCCTGAGTGTAATAAAATATAACATCATATACCTTTCACCCTTTAAACACTGAGTGTAATGAAATATAACATCATATACCTTTAACCCTTTAAACACTGAGTGTAATGAAATATAACACCATATACCTTTCACCCTTTAAACACTGAGTGTAATGAAATATAACACCATATACCTTTAACCTTTTAAACCCTGAGTGTAATGAAATATAACGTCATATACCTTTAACCCTTTAAACACTGAGTGTAATGAAATATAACATCATATACCTTTAACTCTTTGAACCCTGAGTGTAATGAAATATAACATCATATACCTTTAACCCTTTGAACCCTGAGTGTAATGAAATATAACATCATATACCTTTAACCCTTTAAACACTGAGTGTAATAAAATATAACAACATATACCCTGAACTCCAAGTAATAAAAGTAAAAGTGTATGACGTTAATGTTGTATGACATCACTTAGTAACGCCCTGTAAACCGGCCGCTAGGGTATATATTGTGTTAGTGTGTGGCTGGTCACCGGCCGCTAGGGTATATATTGTGTTAGTGTGTGGCTGGTCACCGGCCGCTAGGGTATATATTGTGTTAGTGTGTGGCTGGTTACCGGCCGCTAGGGTATATATTGTGTTAGTGTGTGGCTGGTTACCAGCTGCTAGGGTATATATTGTGTTAGGGTGTGGCTGGTAAACTGGCTGCTCAGTATATATTGTGTTAGTGTGTGGCCGGTTACCGGCCGCTAGGGTATATATTGTGTTAGTGTGTGGCCGGTTACCGGCTGCTCGGGTTGAAGTTAGCATGTTTCTGACACGAAATCACTCATCTGTTAAAAACAGACCAAGGTCTCTAACCTCTAATCAACAAACGATTCTAAACATTATCAATAACAATATTTTGATATAAAGACATAAATTATTCACCAGGACTGAGTCAGTTCAACTATTATCAGCAATCAACATTTGAGAATAACTTGCCACTATTTACCACTCTATACCTAAACATTAAATCAACACACAATCTTATTATTTTATCAAACTGAAGAAATTGTATAACAAAATATCTCCAATTCAGCTTCATCAGACAGAATAAAAGTCTACTTTGTGATCTAGGCCACAATAATAATTTTATGGAATGCTGAATCAACTGATTTCTCATGGTGCTGCTGTGGCTCAGTGAGTTAAACGCTTCCTCGCTTACCTGATGTCACAATTAACCGAGGCCTCGTTTGTTTCAAGCTGTGCACGTTAAACATCCGTTGACAGGCGGAAATTGAAAAACAGTAGTCTAATGTTGCTGTCCTGGCAAAATTTCCCTCATTGCACACAGCATGGCCTAATCAGGTGCTCCATTCATTTCATTTTATTTTCTTGATGTTGAATATCAATACTAATGATTAATAATACAGTTATCAAGAGGTCAGTCAGGACCATATTTATTTACTTGCCTTGGATGACAGATTAACACAAGCTGTGAATTATTTCTAAAACCTTACTTATATTGTTCTTGTGCCTATTTCTATCACAGCCAATTCTGTTGAGAGTCTAAATGGTATAAAGATATCTGTCTCTCAACCTGTCTTTCAACGTGGTTTAAAAGCCAACTTGGTAGAAAGTCTTAACATTAGTGTTTAAGTGAAATGAGAATATAAGATAACACACAGAAAGCACTGGCCTAGGTCCGAAGCAAGGACTTTTCATTAACAAGTGCTGCTTAGCTTAATGATGTTTTGTTAGTTTTAAGAAAATATGATGAGAATTTTCAGGTGGTATTGACTTGTCTTGTGTTATAAAACAGCTTTATATAAATATTCTATAACCAACTGGGCCAATATTAAAATATATAACTATTAGTCTAATTACCATAACAATAATTATAAATATCAAACTAATTATTAATATCTTGTTAACAGATTCTGTATCAATTTCTGTGACTTCATAATAACTGTTAATTATAATAAATTATATTCACTGTTAAAATAATGCTCAATACATCAATTGTAGAGCGATATAGAAATACCACTGTTAAAATAGTGATCAATACATCAATTGTAGAGCAATATAGAAATACCACTGTTAAAATAGTGATCAATACATCAATTGTAGAGCGATATAGAAATACTACTGTTAAAATAGTACTCAATACATCAATTGTAGAGTGATATAGAAATACCACTGTTAAAATAGTGCTCAATACATCAATTGTAGAGTGATATAGAAATACCACTGTTAAAATAATGCTCAATACATTATACCACTGTTAAAATAGTACTCCAATACATCAATTATAGAGAGATATAGATATACCACTGTTAAAATAGTGTCCAATACATCAATTATAGAGAGATATAGATATACCACTGTTAAAATAGTGACTCAATACATCAATTATAAAGTGATATAGAAATACCACTGTTAAAATAGTACTCAATACATCAATTGTAAAGTGATATAGAAATACCACTGTTAAAATAGTACTCAATACATCAATTGTAGAGTGATATAGATATACCACTGTTAAAATAGTACTCAATACATCAATTGTAGAGTGATATAGATATACCACTGTTAAAATAGTACTCAATACATCAATTGTAAAGAGATATAGATATAAAACGCTATGCAATCTTCAGACAACTGTTGTATTATCAGCTAGATCAGTTGTCTGAAGATCACATAGCGTGAAACTCTGAGTAACAACACATTTATTAGGTTCTGTTTTAATATTTCTAACTGTTAATTATGATGTTTTAGTCTACATCACAATATGATAATAATAATTTCTAGGTTATCAAATAGAACCATGCCTTTCTAACATCGAACCCTAATAAAAAAAATCGTTGTACAACGATAAAAACTTATGTACAGTTTGTTGACCAATCCAAAATCAGAGAATAATTTCACAAACAAGTTTTATTGTTTTTTATTTCTTTTTTGTTGATTGAAAAAATATGTATTTACATTTAATGTTGACTAACATTGTAATTACCTGCATCAAAACTGTCATAAATAAAAAAACAAGTATAAAATTAATTTGATAAATCCTTTGTTTTTATTTGTTTACATTTTACGTTTTTATAAACCCACATTTAAATGAGGCATGTTTCCGTTATTTATCGATTATTATCTACAATTATTTTGATTGGTTTTTCTTACAGTTGCCCATCACTAAAATCAATAGGGGAGATAATCATAGTTATAATTAACCATTAATTAATCATTTACTTCATTAGTTTTACTAATTATTACATTGTTCATTCTTGGTTTGATATTGTATGGATGAATGATAACATGTTTGGATAAAATACATGAATGACAGAATTAAGGTCATCAACCAAAATGAATGAATGAATGAAATGATACCATAATCCAAAATGAATGAAGGAAGGAATAAATAAATGAATGAATGAATATCGAATGAATGAATATCGTATAATAATCAAATGAATGAATGAATGAATGAATACAAAATGATACCATAATCAAATGAATGAAGGAATAAATGAATGAATGAATAAATGAAATAAATGAATGAATAAATAAATGAATGAATAAATGAATGAATGAATATCGAATGAATGAATATCGAATAATAATCAAATGAATGAATGAATGAATGAATACAAAATGATACCATAATCAAATGAATGAAGGAATAAATGAATGAAGGAATAAATAAATGAATGAATAAATGAAATAAATAAATGAATGAATAAATGAAATAAATGAATGAATAAATGAAATAAATGAATGAATAAATGAAATAAATGAATGAATGAAACTTACCATCCAAAATACCATGGTTTTTCACCTTCTTTAAAATTAACTCGATCTTCAGGCATACTGAATGCTTCCTCTAAACTTTCAAATTCTGTTTTATACGGAAAAAACTGACACTCTTCATCGTTAACTTGGAATGATCCTTCCAGGGAATCGTATAAATCCTTAAAAAAATGATAACTGAACTCGTTCATAGCCGTCCAATTTGTGGTAGCGTCTTTAACTAAAACAGGCACGCCAGTGAACGCATATTTTTTCATAAATTCTTCGACGGAGATATTTCTTTCGACAGGCACAGAGTGGAGTCCACGACAGGGTTCACAGTTAGCGAGGGGTCGCACCATTTCTGTGATAACAGGATTGATATCTATTATACAACGAGAACCATATACCATGTCATGAAGAGCTTCTTTAGCCCCCAACTGGAATCCTAAAATAGCGAAAATCACAATAAAAATCATCTGTAACTGATAAAGAGGTCTACTTTTTAAAAATGATTTCGATTTTGTCAAAAGTCCCATATTTTTTTCCTCTCTCTCACGATGTGGGTCCGTGTCCCCGAACGCCTGTTTAACCTCATCATCACTGACCCCTTTCTTCAAAGCATCCTCTCGAATTCTCAAAAACTTTTTCATCAATTCTTCAGA